ATTTTGTGCATTAAAGTGAAAGAACATGGTCTGGATAGCCCACAGACATACCATAAACATTTCTAGGACCCATAATTGGTTTCCTTTAACAGAATCTTCTTCAATAGATAACTTTTACTTCATTTTATGGTGCGTGTGAATGTTTCTGTAGTGTGCCCTGAGATTACCTTGGTTGTGAGCTGAATAAAAGMAAAGGGTTAGCTAAAACTAAAAGTATCAAAAAGACTGGCAAAAAGGTGCTAAATGCTAAATAAGAAGCAAACTCTGCATAAGCACTTTCAGCTACTTTATTCAAAAAGTAGAGTAACAAACCTGTAGGAGAAGGCAGACAGGAGTCAAGCATCTCTCTCAGACTTCTATTTGATGCCAGCAGAGCAGCTTTACGTCGTGCCACATCAGGAAAATCCACCTCAAACACAACGGCCTCATTCAGAGCTCCATCTGCATGCAGGCGAAAATACAGCGAGTCGAAGCCTGCACCCAGAGACAAGATCTGCACCAGTGGAGGGAAAGATCATGACACACAGTCAGAAAAGCCCTCAGCTGACTATACAAGGTAGTGCTGCGGTGTGATGTATATAACTCACCTGTCTGTTTGGGCATTCTGCAGTGACGTGAAGAAAGCCCCTCACACAGTGGTCCACAGCTCTCCAGCGCACATAGTAGCCTCTAAAAATAAACAACAACCATTCATCTACTCCCAGGAGAAAACGTTCTTCTCAGCCCTGTTAGGTGCAGGTCTGGAGCCTTTTTGTCCTGGACTGTGAGCTGTCAGCTGAGAGGACACCCACAGGCCTGCTCACCTGTTGATGAGTGGGGCTCTTCTGGACACCTTGCTCACAAAGTGTTGGAGAAAAGGGTCTCTGAAGTAGCCCTGCGCTGCAGCTGAACACTTGCTCACCACACTGCTGTCGTTGGTTCCCTGGACCTGAGGCAAGCCGTAAAAAGACACATCACAACGTATTACTGATCTGTTTCACCTTTCAGCCATTTAATAACAATCTCAGTGACACACAGCCTTCTCTTACTTGTTTCAAAGCTTTAAACTCTTTCTATGTTTGGATGAATGAACCAAAGCGTCTGCCTCGTTTTTAATGTATAATAAAACTTTCATCTTCAGAATATTGTTGGACATTGCACATCAAGATACTTCTATAAAGCTGCARCAGAGTTCAGGTTTTAGCTCCTGTATATTTAAAATGAAACCCACGATGGTTTACATAATTTCAAATAACCTAAAATGAGTTTAAGATCTGATGTTTCACTGTGAATAATGGTTGGATATAAAAGATTCATATTTGTCTTTTTTTCTCTTTGTCTCTCTCGGTTTAAAGAAGTTGAAATTTACCGCCGAGTCGCTGCTCTTCTTCTGTTTTGTTTTCTTTGTCGTCGGCATAATGTCAGTGACCTGTCGCATCTGGAAGAGAAACACGTTTCACTTTTTCACTATTGACAACAGTTCAACACATGATGGAATCAAAAACATTTCAACTTCCGCCGCCTGAGGTCACATTTCCGCTCAACTGTGCTTCGCGGGTGCCCCCTAGCGGCCAAAAGGCGACAGCAAATTTAAAAACCAGGCATTTTATTTTAGTAAATATCCCAATAGCTTGTATTAAAGWTATTTTTATTGGTGATATCTCAGATTTGTTGCTTACAGCTGAATTGGGTTGACTCTATGGCAGAGTTAAACATTTTCTGCATCTACAACAAAATGTGAAAATAATGGAGTTTAACTACTGAAATATAAATATGATGAAACGATKATGATGAAAGCCTTTATTGTCATTGTTTGCACAATGAAATTACATTTAAGAATACGCATTCAAGAAGACACACACGACAAAAACATGTGAAATAGGTGATCAAGTCATGAGGCACCAAAAAGCTTGAAATACAAAAAATGAGTTTAAAAAGATGCTATGAATATTTCCATACTTTTAAAAAATGTTAGAAACTGGACACACAACTGAAAATAATTCACTCCTTTCTCCTG